CCTTAAACCTCTCCTCAATGCCAGTTCCTCTTCTGGGGCAGACTTATTCTGTCTTCCATGAATTGACCTGGTTCTAAAAAAAGAGGAAGAGGAAGAGTGGTGATATTTTAAATCTCCTCTAAAAGAATCCTAAATATGTTTGGATGGGCAAATTTGGTAGACATATCCACATGGTTGGAATTATATTTATCTTTTCTTTGAGGTGGTCTCTTAATAAGGGATCTATCCCTTCTCTGAGGAAATATATTTCTCAGGGAAAAATTGCTAACTTTAGGAATCTGATTATTTTAGAAAATTAATTTGTTGAGAATTAACAAATTTATGTATTGTAGTATTTTTATCTTGAGTAAATTGGTTTCTACGTGAGAAAGATTTCACTTGTTTAAAAGCGTAATCATAAAATCCTGGCCCCAGCAACAGTCCTAGCGATACTAGCAAACACTTGCAGTACAGACCTCGTAGACTAGCAACGAGAACTTACCATATCCTATACGTGAACCCACATCTGTGGCTATGTAGCAAGAGTTTAGTTAACTTGGCATCACCCCCACCCACAGTGTTTACAGATGTTGTCATAATTTTCTAATTTTCTAATACTGTCACATAACACAAGCGGCATACCTGACCCATCAGTCACACAATATGACCTTTCCTACGTCACATATGCCCTATTTGACGAAATTACATCTAACTTACCTTTCTAAAAATGTGCAGAATTACTGTTAGCCACGCTGAAAATGTATATCAATGATTTGCCCTGGACTGCTGTCATGGCACCAAGGGCCTGTTTGTTATTAATCGCACAGCAAAAATAAAGAATATAAAAAAATTTAATAATTTTTTAATTTTTTTTCTTTTTTATAGTTACTGTATACTGTTCTACCTTATCTATATTGTCTTTTATTGTCTGTAACATACTTTCCACATCCTCACAGCATGAAAGAGGTTGCGTTCTCCTTTATCCAAATTAATAAAATGTATCTTTCTCTGCTGAATGATGATAGTCGTCATTCTTACTAAGAAGAATTCTAAGGACGAGTTCTGTATCCTTTTAATCCTCCTGAGCAAATGTAGGTGTTATAAAAAAATCTTAGTCCTCTTGGTGTTATTTTGTGTTCTAAATGTTTCTCTAAGTTGAAGAGTTCCCATTTAATTTTTGTGTCTTTAATAATTTCTATTATGTATTACATGTGTAGTCAAAGTATTAATTTCATTAATGCACTGGCTATCTTTTCTTGCCAATTATAGTTTCTATCAAATACATCCATATTTCAATTTGATCTGTCTACACTTTGGTGACAAATAAACAAGCAATAAAATAAATGCAAAAAAGTGTTTTTGGCGCTTCAATAAATTATAATTCACTGTGTGTATAACTGGTATAAAAAGTGCTTCCCCAACACTAAAAATATATAGAAAAGATAACATTCAGCATGTAAAACATACACCAAGTGTATATATGTAAATACATAAACCACTTAATGTTCCAGAGATGTGAACTGATGTGAATGATTATATTTTTTAATTTGGAAGAGTATTCTTTAAAGGTACCTTGACCATTGACCAGTGAATATAGCCAGTCCTGAGTCCATTTTCTAGATTTGGACATATATTTTAAAAAATTTTTTTGAAAACTAAGACATATTTTAAAAAGGTTGATGTCAATAGTAATGTTGACACAACCAACTGCCATTATAGCCATTGGCTTCAATATATACCTAAGGGACAATTTATTCGGCCATATAGAAATTGTGAAGATCTTGATGAATTTGACAAACAGGTAAGAATATTATGATCTAATTTTGAAATGAAAAGGTATAATCTTTCAAAAATCAATAAACAAATAGAAAATGTTAAACAACTATATAGAGAAAATATTCTACAGCATAAAGATAAAGGGAATAAACACAAATTACAGATTACACGGTTACATAGTTGGAAAGAGACATGCGTCCATCAAGTTTAGCCTTTCTCATATTTCTTTTTGCTGTTGATCCAAATGGAGGCATAAAAACAGTTTGAAGCACTTCCAATTTTGCACAAACTAAGAAAATAATCCTTCTTGACCCTGGATATCTCCTTGCATCAAGAAGTTATTACCTCACTAACTAAGAATTATATTTCTGAATATTATATTTTTGCAAGTATTTATGTAAAACATCTATATAGACTGCTATAATAACACTTCTACAGGCAGATAATTCCACATCCTTATTGTTTTTACTGTATAAAAACAAAACCTTTATTTTGCCTTAGAGTAACTCTCCTTTCATCCAGTCTAAATGTGTCCTATGTATAGTCCTGTTTATGAATTAATTTCCAGACATTTGGCCCTAAATATATTTGTATAAAGTTATCATATCCCCTTTGAGGTGCTGTTTTTCCAAACTAAAGATATTTACATTTGTTAACCCTTCTTCATAACTAAAATGCTATTTTCCTTTTATTAATTTTGTAGCCCACCTCTGCAAAATATGTAAAACACATAACCAGAACCGCCCCAAATGGACAAGAATGCCCAAAAAGAGGGCGTGTCTGCATGATGAATTAGATGGTCAGCCTGGCGTGAATGCACGTCATGCTGCTTGCCAATCAAAGAGGATGACCAACCAAGGGCATACTGTGCAGACAGCATCCTGAGCTTGTCATAAATGCATCTAATGATGTACTAACTCTAGGCTTTCTAAGCATTTGCGGGTCCACTCCTCTCCTTGCTTTCTTACTAGAAGGCAGAAGCTCCTCTTATACAGTCTTGGAGAGAGAAAAGCGTATGTAGTGAATGTAGAAGAAAGGGAACATGCCACAGTGTTAGAGAGACTGAAGCAGCAACAGCATTCGCAGTGGGTATACTGTCATCCTCATGATCGAAGATTGGTTTTCCAAGATGGAACACTTCACACATCTTCTGAAACTGCCTTCTGCTGTGTTTGGTAAAATCTTCTCCAGGGAGGAGTTGCATTTACTTGGTATTCTTAAACAGATTGTATCATATCAACGAAATCAATTTCTCTAATTTCTGGAGATCCTTTTGCTCGGAGATGGGTTTTCCTAATGCAATACTCAGCACTAATCTCTTCTAGACCAATGAGGCTGCTGAGCATGCCAACCTGTCCTTTGAACAGTAACTTCCAAGGAAGAAGATAAACCCAATCAGTTAAATACGGCAGAGTATAATTGCAATAATGCTACTTATGGGTCTTCTGTGTACGGTCTTCTATACAGTAGACTGTACATTCTGATAGATATTATTGCACATCTCCTTTTTATTGGGTGTGGCTCTCTACCTATAATGTAGAGGACAAATGTTAAACATTTACGTGGGTTTCTCTATAAGATTTAACTTCTCCTAGCACCTTCGATGAAGCTGAGTCCCAGATTCATTAGTTGATATATGATTCTGAGATGGATTAATCTGGTCTCATACACTTTGCGTATATCTAATGTATCCACACCTCCATGCTGAAGTCTCTCCTGTATAACAGGTTTATTAGACCTAGGAATCCTCCATCTCCTGTCTTGGTGGAGGGTTAAGAGGAGTACGAAGTAGAATCTGTTCTTAATTCCCATTTTTTTGTCCCAGACTTTAATATTGTATTCACTCGAAGGGATACAGTCTTGAGGAATGTAGCTGGGATCCAGCTGATATTCACACTCCTCATTTAAGGGCATGCCTTTCATTCTTGTTTTTCTGTCAAGCCTGGTTCTTCCAGCAGAGTGGGCATGTCTTCAGGTGAAGTATTTTAAGAAATCTTTCCTGATTGGAGCAGCACTCTCCTCAAGACTTAAAGAGGCATATCCTTTCAGAAAATGTAATTGTCCCCGTCATTTTTAGTCCTGTCGTTTCTGTTGCACATTTCTTTTATTTTTTTCTTGATATTCTGGTATGAGCCTTGTTGCTGGAATTTTTTTGTACCTCTATAACCCTTTCCTGGCTAGTTTCTACATTATTCTATTTTTATGATACTGACACGGCTAGTTATTCTGTTTATCCATTTATCTGTAACTGTGACCTTGGCTTGTATACTAACTTTTATTTCTCTCATTTATACATTGACACTGGCCTTTATACATTGACACTGGCCTCTCTAAGGTCTAGTAATAGCCCCTTTCTGTCTTCTCTGTCTGTTGTACTAGGTGCTGAATTTCTGGGTATGCTCACCTGGACAGCAGCATATGCACCCTTTCCACGGGATGATTTTTTTGCAGGCTGTATGGGGATTGAATGCGCATGCGCGGCAAGAGCCGCGCGCATTCAGCCAGTCTCATAGGAAAGTATTCTCAATGCTTTCCTATGGACGTTGGCGTCTTCTCACTGTGAAAATCACAGTGACAAGCGCGGAAGCGCCTCTAGAGGCTGTCAATAAGACAGCCACTAGAGGCTGGATTAACCCATTCTCTGAAACTGCTATGTTTACAGCAGAAAGGGTTAATCCTAGGTGGACCTGGCACCCAGACCAATTCATTAAGCTGAAGTGGTCTGGGTGCCTATACTGGTCCTTTAAGATGGTGTGCACTGAGCAGCCAAATCTACTCCCCCATATATTGGATGTACTAAAATGAACTTTGAAATTTCTATCTGTTATTTTTTTTATCTGTGTACCGAAGGGCCAGCACCGATGTTAGGCCTCTACTGTGTTTGCCGCTTGTTAGCTTTTGGGGGCGACCTCTGCTTGCTGTGCACTTTGTGCTACATGCTACAGTTTAAAAACACAATACATTTTTAACCCCTTAAGGACCGCGGACGTACCAGGAACGTCCAACAAAAAATGGTCCTTAAGGACCGAGGACGTATCTGATACGTCCGCAGTAAATCTGAACGCTGGAAGTGATCGTGATCGCTTCCAGCTGCTCTTATAGTATTACACGATGCCTCGATTTCGAGGCATCGTGTAATACCCCACTACACTGCTGGGGACTAGTGATGTCCCGAACAGTTCGCCGAACGGTTCGCTGCGGACGGCGAACATAAACATAAACTTTGACCCTGTACCTCACAGTCAGCAGACACATTCCAGCCAATCAGCAGCAGACCCTCCCTCCCAGACCCTCCCACCTCCTGGACAGCATCCATTTGCATTCACATGAATTTAATGTGAGCTGTCCAGGAGGTGGGAGGGTCTGGGAGGGAGGGTCTGCTGCTGATTGGCTGGAATGTGTCTGCTGACTGTGAGGTACAGGGTCAAAGTTTATGTTTATGTTCGCCGTCTGCGGCGAACCGTTCGGGACATCACTACTGGGGACCCAAGTTATCGCCCCCTCCCTGGAGTTATCACTTCTGGGTTTGCCGCACGTGGCGCCCGGCAGTGTAGGGAAGAGCATTTGAAGCCATCCGCAGGCTTCAGATGCTCTTACCTTTACTGAGTGCCTTGAGGGGTCGAAAAAAAAAAAACCCCATAATTAAAATTACAAAAAATTTGAAAAAAAATTAACCCCTACCCTCCCTTCCCCATGTACTTACCTGCCGGAGATCGGTCTTCTTCTTTGGGGGGACTCTCTGGACTGAGCCCAGAGAGTCTCCCCTCTCCAATTTAAGAGACTAAAAGAGCGGTCACATGGCCCCCATAGGTGTCCATTGTGCTGCCAGGCAGTCCCCCTGTTGGTGAAAAAGTAAAAAAAAAGTTAAATAAAAGTTTAAAAAATTAAAATAATGTTAATAAATGTTTTTTATATATATATATATATATATATATATATATATATATGTATATATGAGATATATTTATACATATGTTATATCTATATATAATATGTGTATATATATATATATATATATATCTTATATATAACATCATACTAAGAGTATTTTTTTCTTAATATACATATATTAATATAAAAATACACTTGAGTAAAATTACACGTATATATTATAACTAATAAATAATTAAAAATAAACTGTAAAAATTTTAAAAAAATATATATAAATATGTCATTTTATTCTCACTGTATTTTAAATATATATATATATATATATATAATTATATATATATATATATTTATATCAAAATAACTTAGAATGAAATTATATATATATCTATGTATAATTTCCCCTTAACGACCGAGGACGAACTAGGTACATCCGACAAAAAACGGGCGTTAAGGATGTCTGCGAAAAATAGGAGCCCTGGCCAGACGATCCGCGCAATCACGGTCGGGGAGGACTGCCAGAGACCCCAGGAGTCCCCCTACAGCAGCTCTGGCCATTCCGGCTATGTGATCACCATGATCGCATCACCGCAATAGAACTCTAGGAGCTGCCAGCAGGAGGGCTGTCTGAGCTGTCAGGCAGTCCCCCAGGCTGCTAAAAAAAAAAAAAAAAAATTATACATATACAGGTGGTCCTTATTTAGCGACCTACCTGTTTTACCACGGACATAGATTAGATGGATTCCCTGCTTTGGTGTGTTTGTCTATGTTCGGGGAAGTATCCCCGAACATAGAAGAACGAATGAGAGCAGGGAATCCCCACGACGGCACGCACTTACGAGCAGGGACTAAGTGGCTACTGCAAAAGACTGGACATACCCCATTTTGAATACCCTGGGTTGTCTTCTTTTACAAATGGTATGCCATGATGGGATTAATTTTCATTCCTGGGCTGGTATATGGTCTCAAAGGCACCATAGGCCCAGCAAACCAATTTGGCAAATTTCAATGTGCAAACATGGAAAAGGGGAAAGCCCTACATTTGACCCCTGTAAGTTTGCAAAAGCCCATAAAACCTGTACATTGCAGGCACTGTTGTACTCAGGAGATGTTGCTGAACACATATTGGGGGTTTCTTTGTCAGTAACACATAACAGGAACTGAGAATCCATGCCTAAAGTACAATGTGAAATAAAAATAACACACAAAAACCGACTACCCAAAAGCTAGACAAAAACTGGTGGTAGAATTAGTGCATGGAAAGTGTTGAAATACCACCATTTAAAATACACTGGGTGTCTACATTTTAAAAATATATGGTTTGATGGGGGTAAATTACATTGGTCAGCTTCAAAAATGTCCCAAATAGGACATGGGTGCATGATGACCAGCTCAGACAATTTGGAAAACTGGAACGTACCCTCCAAATAAGTTCTTTTAGCCCCCAGAGGACCCAACACACCTATATATGGGTGGTATCACTGTACTCAGGAGATGTTTCTGAACACATATTTGGGTGTTCTTTGGCAGTAACCCTTAAAGTTCTGCGTACATGTATTCTTAAATTGCTATGTGTGTCAAAACAATAACCAATTATTTTTTTTTGTTAAAATTTGGCATAGGATGGTGGTAAAATGGTTGCATGAAAAAAGTCAAAATGCCCCAAGTTTAATACCTTAGGTTGTCTTCTTTTAAAAAATATATATGTGTAACAATGTAACTGATATCAGTGTTACAATTTAACTTGCTTTAATTTTGAAAAAACATGGTTTGGAAATAGCAAAGTGCTACTTGTACTTATAGCCTTATAACTGTCCAAAAAAAGCTAAGAACTTGTTAACATTTCTAAACTCAGGACAAAATTTAGAAACTATTTAGCACAGGCGGTTTTTGGCGGTTGTAGATGCGTAACAGATTTTGGGGTCAGAGTTGGAAAAAGTGTGTTTTTTTTCAATTTTTTCATCATATTTTATCATTTTTGTTATAGTAAATTATATGATATGATGAAAATAATGGTATCTTTAAAAGACCATTTAATGGCGGGATAAACGGTATATAATATGAGTGGGTACAGTAAATGAGAAAGAGGAAAATTACAGCTAAACACAAACACCGCAGAAATGTAAAAAGAGCCCTGGTCCTTAACGGTAAGAAAATTGAAAAACGGTCTGGTCACTAAGGGGTTAACTAGATCAATACGGATGTAGTAATTTTAAAACCATAGATGATAGATGATAGCCTTTATTCATCAAGGACAGAAGAACCCGACTCAATCTTGCCATTTGTGCTCACAGAATCAGGGCACCCAGGCAGGTCAATATGTCTGTCGTCCCTTGATAAATGCATTTAGCCAAGTGTAACCAGTACTGCATTTGCATAATTTGTAGAATTCAATCCCATATTGTTACTGCTTTGATATTATAGATTATTTAAAAAAAACATCTTTTTTTTTTAAATTTCACCAGAGATTCATCTATGCATACGTTTTGTTCAGGGATATACATTTTTCTAAATTTTCAAAATGTAATAGGTGCTTGATAAGGGACTAAATTTTCTAGAAATCACTTTTAGGTGGGCACAATTTGTTCTGGTAAGTAGAATCATTACCTTCACGCTTTTTGCTGTAAACACTGTTTTTCAGAGAAAATGCAGTGTTTACACTACAGCCTAGTGATAACTTCACTGGCCACTCCTCCGATAGCTGTTAGAGATCCTTCCTGGGTCATGTCTGCATGCAGACACTGAACTTTCCTCACAGAGATTTATTGATTCAATTCATCTCTATGAAGAGATGCTGATTGGCCAGGGCTGTGTTTGAATCATACTGGCTTTGCCCCTGATCTGCCTCTTTGTTAGTGATGTACCGAACGGTTCGCCGGCGAACGGTTCCTGGCGAACATAGCATGTTCGCGTTCGCCACGGCGGGCGAACATATGCGCGGTTCGACCCGCCCCCTATTCGTCATCATTGAGTAAACTTTGACCCTGTACCTCACAGTCAGCAGACACATTCCAGCCAATTAGCAGCACAGCCTCCCTAGCAGACCCTCCCACCTACTGGACAGCATCCATTTTAGATTCATTCTCAAGCTGCATGCTTAGTAAGAGGAGGGAAAGTGTAGCTGCTGTTCATAAGATAGGGAAAAGCATAGCTAGGTTAGGGATAAGGGTATGCTTTTTTGGATTTTTTTTTTCTATCTAATGTAAATGCACTTAGTTGTCTGCCACTGCTGCCAGCTTCTGTGTCAGGCTCACAGTGCCCATTTCCCCAGTCAGTGCCACCAATTACATCTGGTGTCACAATAGCTTGGATTTAAAAACAAAAAACTTTTTTCACTGTTATAGATTGAATAGCAGTCAGTTGTCTGCCACTGCTGCCAGCTTCTGTGTCAGGCTCACAGTGCATACTGTGCCCATTTCCCCAGTCAGTGCCACCAATTACATCTGGTGTCACAATAGCTTGGATTTAAAAACAAAAAACTTTTTTCACTGTTATAGATTGAATAGCAGTCAGTTGTCTGCCACTGCTGCCAGCTTCTGTGTCAGGCTCACAGTGCATACTGTGCCCATTTCCCCAGTCAGTGCCACCAATTACATCTGGTGTCACAATAGCTTGGATTTAAAAACAAAAAACTTTTTTTACTGTTATAGATTGAATAGCAGTCAGTGTCCTTAAAGCGGGTGTGTTACGCTAACAGTGGATACGCTGACAAGTGCCACTAATTAGATCCTGTGTCACAATAGCTTGGATTTAAAAACAAAACTTTTTTTACTGTTATAGATTGAATAGCAGTCAGTGTCCTTAAAGCGGGTGTGTTACGCTAACAGTGGATACACTGACAAGTGCCACTAATTAGATCCTGTGTCACAATAGTTTGGATTTAAAAAAAAAATAATCTTTTTTTCACTGTTATAGATTGAATAGCAGTCAGTGTCCTTAAAGCGGGTGTGTTACGCTAACAGTGGATACGCTGACAAGTGCCACTAATTAGATCTGGTGTCACAATAGTTTGGATTAAAAAAAAAAATAATCTTTTTTCACTGTTATAGATTGAATAGCGGTCAGTGTCCTTAAAGCGGGTGTGTTACGCTAACAGTGGATACGGTGACCAGTGCCACCACTTATATCTGGTGTCACAATAGCTTGGATTTAAAAACAAAAAACTTTTTTACTGTTATAGATTGAATAGCAGTTAGTTATCTTCAAGCAGGTGTGTTACGCTAACAGTGGATACGGTGACCAGTGCCACCACTTAGATCTGGTGTCACAATAGCTTGGATTTAAAAACAAAAAACTTTTTTCACTGTTATAGATTGAATAGCAGTCAGTATCCTTAAAGCGGGTGTGTTACGCTAACAGTGGATCCGGTGACCAGTGCCACCACTTAGATCTGGTGTCACAATAGCTTGGATTTAAAACAAAAAAACTTTTTTCACTGTTATAGATTGAATAGCAGTCAGTGTCCTTAAAGCGGGTGTGTTTCGCTAACAGTGGATACGGTGACCAGTGCCAC